ATTAATAATCTATTAGGGTAAGTATGGTCATTTCGCTTTACTATTAGACTTACTTGAAAATTTCATACTGCTTTGAGGTTCCATTGCTTCCATGTAAAGCAATCCCGATGGACCCAGTCATTTCAGTATTTCCAGCCAGTGTGACTGATACCCTGTATCTCCAACCTGTGCAAAGAAAAGATACTATCAGTTCAATGAACTCATCTTGTTGGAAAAAAAATGACCCATGGGAGGATTCTTGCTCCAATCTCTGAATCCCCTATGAGTGGGAGGTAAGGACGAGTGTAACGAATGGTTTCCTTCAATGTAGTTGGGGTCCCAGGAATTCTGATGCTAGGTGGGGTGAAGGACTCAGGGGGAAGTACATATTGCAGCTCAGCATAATCTCTTCCCAACCCAGCCAGGTGTGTGTTCTTATGGATGGAGGGTGGCTGGTTACTATACCCCGGTACCCAGGGACCCACCACGGACTGTACCAGAAAGACCACCGGGAGAGGTTGATAGCTGGGCTCCAACATTTGGATAAATCACTTACTGTTGCCTTCTTTGTTATTATTTTTGTTATTTTCCCATGCCAAGGACATATTCTCAGTGGAAAAACAACACAGACAATTTTTAAAAAATGAATAAACCCTTTCTCAGCGCTCTGTCCACCTGCCCTCCATATCAGGGTCTTCTCAGTCTGGTCTGTAGACTTAACCAAGCCCTGCCGGGTGGTTTGCTGCCGGGGGACAATTGGCATTGTCTGGAGATGTTCTTGATTGTCACACCCAGGGAATGGGGTGTGTGGGTGCAGGGCTACTGGCATCTCGCTGGTAGAGGCCACGGATTTGCTAAACATACTGCAATGCACAGGACAGTCCCCCAATAACATGTGGTCCAGTCCCGGATTCCAGTAGAGCTGAGGTTGGGATACCCTGACCTAGAGCTTTCTATGCACATTTACACACCCACACATATGACTGTATAAAAAGTTAGACTTTTGCCTGCATGGTATGGCTCAATGGGTCAGTGTTGACCCATGAATCAGGAGGTCATGGTTTGATTCCTGGTCATGGCACAAGCCTGAGTTTCAGGCTCGATGCGCAGTAGGGGGTGTGCTGATCAATGATTCTCTCTCATCATTGATGTTTCTATATTTTCCTCTCTCTCCCTTCTGCTTTGCTATCAACAAAAATATATAGTCTTTTCCCTTTAATTTACATGACAAATGAGACTTTGCAAATGTGAGGACATTAAGGATTTTGATACAGGGAAATTATTCTGGATTGTCTGGTTGGACCCAATGTAATCACAAGGGTCCTTATAAGAGGGTGACAAGAGGGTCAGGGTCAGAGCAGATGTGAACACAGAAGCAGAAGTGACACATGAGTCAAGGAAAGCAGGCAACTCTAGAAGCTAAAAAAAAAGGCAATACTATGGATTCTCCCCTGAAGCCTCTAGATTCTAGAGCAGTGGTTCTCAACCTTCTGGCCCTTTCATTTCCTCATGTTGTGACCCAACCGTAAAATTATTTTCGTTGCTATTTCATAACTGTAATGTTGCTACTGTTATGAATCATAATGTAAATATCTGATATGCAGGATGGTCTTAGGCAACTCCTGTGAAAGGGTCATTCGACCGCCAAAGGATCGTGACCCACAGGTTGAGAACCGCTGCCTTAGAGGTTTTCTAGATCCTTCCTTGACTGGTTACATAGAGGATGTGGTTAAAAAGTGGTGGGTATTTAGTTTTTTCCCCACGTTCTTTTTGTATTAAAATCAGTGCTGCGGTGAGCATCCTTGAATACCTTCTCCCGCACACATGCAAATGTTTTCCTAAGGTGCGTTCTGACTTAAAGGAATATGCTTGTAAGACTTTACAGATACTCCTAACTGTTATCATGTATTCTGAGTGTCGTATTACAAGAAATACTCTGTGTAAACAGTGTTCTGTGAAGTGCTGCAAAAATGTTTTTCAATGTAAAACTCCCTTGGAAAATAAATGCTCTTCTGTTCAGCCATCATGTAACATTAATTATAACAAACAAATCCTGATGCTTTTACTATTTTCTTTTTAAGTGAAAAGCTGGCAAAATAACACCAAATAACACACCATCCTCAGGTGTGTGTAATCAGGGGGACTAGCATGGTGAGTAATCACGGGGTGCCTTTGCCCCATCTTGCCTTCCTCTGTTAATGGATCCGTCCTTCCTGCCACAGGGTTGGGGGGACATGTGACCAGTCTGGGCCATTCACAGTCTACCTACTCTGCTGGTCAGGATTATTGGTTACAGGGGTGAACGTGAGAGGCAAGACAAATGCCATTCTACCGTCCTTCCATCATCATTTAAGCTGGTTGGTGCTGAGTTTCTATCCATTGCTACCAAGGGTCCTAACAAACAAGGTTGATACACCTTTTAAAATCATTTGCAGCTTTTAAATGGGTACAATGGAAACTTACGCGCAAAGTTACCACTCTCTCCTGTGTTCAGGAAAAACGTTTGTCCCACGGCGCTGGAGTTCCCCTGAAATTGGTCCGCATAGTGCCCCATTTTGGGGCATCCTGTGACTGGACAAGGAAAACAGCCATTCTAGAGGATAAACAGAAATTTGTCTGTGAGTGGTAGGCCTTTCACTCATTCACTCACTCAATTGATCAATTCTTCTTCCCATTCATCCATCCATCCATCCATCCCTCCCTTTCTCCTTCAATCATCCACTCATCCATCTAATCCTCTTTCTATTTATCTGTCCATCTACCCTCCATCCATTCATTAATGCATCCATCTCACCCATGCCGTCCAGATATCCTTTGAGAGTTTTTCAGAATGAAAAGTTTGGGATCTAGAGAAGGCCCCCCGGGTCAGGTCTGTGCCATGCACCGCCTGCCCACACCACTCCCCGGAGGAAGAAGGCTCTGTGAGGCTCAGCGTTACCAGCACCTCCTCTACTAGTCGTGAAGTTACATCTCTGCTCTGTTCCAAGCCACAGGGACAAAACCAACAACCACAGAGCCACCCCACCCTCCCCAGGCCCCTGGGGAGACCCACCTTCTGAAACTCCTCGTAGGAGGCACACGGGTAGCCCAGGAAGCCGTCGGGGTTGAGGATGCTGTTGGAGTAGTACTTGTAGCTTCTCAGGTGATTGCAGGATACAAGGTCTCGGGTTCCTGAGGAGCAAAAACCCCTGGAGCTCACAGGAGACTCTCACTTTTGAAGCTTGAACGTTCTGATCTGAATAAGGCGTCACCGCCTCATTTCATAGAGGGGATCCAGCATTCCTGAATGCCTTGGTCACAATTCCAAGTTCCTGTCATTGACTTTGACATACTTTGGGGAAAATAATTACTGATCAACATTTACAGCACATAGAGGTGGTATCTGGGGGCTTCTTTAGTCATGGGATTTGGCTCTGGTCGCTTTCCTCTGCCCCCCACGTGACTGTGTGCTGAGCCGGGCCTGCTTGGGGCTGGGCAAGTGCTGGGGAGGGACGAGTTCTAACAAGGAAGTGTGTCCAAACCTCCAGTGGCCAAGCTTCTGACAGAAGTGAAGGATGGGGGAAAACCAAGATGGCGGCATAGGTAAACACCGGAGTTAGCTGCCTCAAACAACCACTTCAAAAATACAACTAAAAGACGGAATGGACATCACTCAGAACCACAGGAACACTGGCTGAGTGGAAGTCCTACAACTAGGAGGAAAGAGAAGCGCATACCGAGACTCAGAGGAGGCGCAGTGCTGAAGAG